ACTAAGTAGGCAATTCTCAATAGAGGAATCTAAAATGGCTGAAAGACACATAAGAAAGTGTTCAACATCCTTAGCCATCAGGGAAATGCAAATCAAAACAATTCTGAGATACCATCTTACTCCTGTCAGAATGGCTAAAATCAAAAACACCAATGACAGTTTATGCTGGAGAGGATGTGGAGAAGGGGGAACACTCTTTCATTGCTAAAAAAAAGTACAGCCACTTTGGAATCAGTATGGCAGTTCCTCAGGAAAATGGGAATAGGTCTACCACAAGATCCAGCAATTCCACTCTTAGGCATATACCCAAAAGACGCATTCATACAACAAGGACATCTGTTCAATGATGTTCATAGCAACATTATTTGTAATAGCCAGAACCTGGAAGCAACCTAGATGCTCTTCAACTGAAGAATGGATAGAGAAAATGCGGAACATTTACACAATAGAGTACTACTCAGCAGAAAAACAAAACAATGGAATCTTGAAATTCACAGGCAAATGGATGGAACTCGAAGAAACCATTCTGAGTGAGGTAACCCAATCACAAAACGACAAATATGGTATGCACTCACTCATATATGGATTTTAGAAATAGAACAAAGGATTACCAGCCTACAATCCACACTGCCAGAGAAGCTAGGAAACAAGCTAAGAGAGATATACATGGTCCCCTGGAGAAGGGGAAGGGACAAGATCTCCTGAGCAAATTGGGAGCGTGGGGAGAAAGGAGAGTGAGCTAGGAGAATGAGAAGGGGAGGAGGGGAGAAGAGGATATGAGGGAGCAGGAAGGTTGAGTTGTGGGAAGAATAGAGGAGAGCAAGGTAAGAGATACTATAATACAAGGAGTCCTTATAGGTTTACAGAGAAATCAGGCCCTAGGGAAATGTCTGGAGATCTACAAAGATGACACTAGCTAACAATCTAAGCAACAGAGGAGAGGCTACCTTAAATGCCCTCCCCTGACAATGAGATTGATGACTAACTTATATGCCATCCTGGAGCCTTCATTCAGTAGCTGATGGAAGCAGACACCCACAACTAAACACTGAATTGAACTCCTGGAATCCAGTTGCAGAGAGGGAGGAGCGATGAGCAAAGGGGTCAAGACAACAGAAACAGCTGACCTGAACAAGGGGGAGCTAATGGACCCCTGACTGATAGCTGGGACACCAGCATGGGACTGATCCAGACCCCATGAATGTGGGTGACAGTGAGGAGGCCTCGGAAATCTATGGGGCCTCTTGTAGTAGATCAGTATTTATCCCTAGCATAAGGATGGTCTTTGGGAGCCCATTCCACACAAAGGGATACTTCCCAGCCTAGACACACAGGGATGGGCCTAGGCCCTATCCCAAAGGATATAATAGACTCTGGTGACCCCCTAAGGAAGGCCTCACCCTCCCTGGAGAGCAGAAAGGTTATGTGATAGGTAGCATTTTAGTTTTGGGGGGGGGGCAAGGAAGGAGGGAAGGGAGAGGGAACGGGATTGACATGCAAAACAATCTTGTTTCTAATTTAAATAAAAAATGGAAAAATTAAAACAAATGTCCCACAGCATAAACAAAAGAAATAAAAAGGGCACTGAGCTTTTCACCATGGTAACCCATGCCAGCTGTGACTGAAATCTCTGCCCTTCTTTCTGTTGAGATACATTCCTTCTTTACCTAATTTGTCGATAGTTACTATCATTAAAAGGTGTGAAACTTTGAAAATGCTTTTATATATCTACCAAAGTAATCATATGGTTTTTATCATTTATGTTCAGATTGTAGTGGATCACATTTGTTCATATTCAATCATCTTTATACTTGAGAGGTAACTCCCACTCGACCATGTTGTACAATTTCCTCAGTATCCTGTTGAATTTGATTTCTTAGTGTTTTTGAGGCTTTTTTGCATTTGTTTTTATGAAATATGTTAGCCTGTAATTTTCTTTACCTCTAGAAGTGTGACATGACATTGGCATGAGGCTAATACTGGCTTTACAAAATGTGTTTGTAACATTCTTCCTGCTTCATTTCTTTGTGAGAGTCTGAAGACAGTCAATATTGAATTCAGTAAAATTGGCAGGTAGAAAAATTTTAAAAATGAATTGAAAAAAATGGCTTGCATTTTTGCATATAGTAATAAAGAATTTTGAAAAGATTCCACTTATGATAGTGTGATAAAAACAAAATGCTTAGGAAATTTAAGCAAGGAGCCCAAAACTCAGCATTCTGAAAGCTGTGTTATGTTGCAGAAGGAAATTAAACAACATAGAGGTGAGTATTGTTGCCAAAAGTCCACAATGACCCACAGATCCCTTTCAATAACTTAGTGGCATTTTCATAGAAATGGGGAAAAAGTCCTAAAATTTATGTGAAGTCATAAAGAACACAAATAGATCAAGAGTTTGTAAGAAGAGGGCAACACTAGCGATACCACACCTCCTAATCCATGTACATCTCAAAGCTATAGTAATCATACAACAGTATAGGTGTGTCATAAAAGTAGACAAACAGAACAATGGAACAAGGTAGAAAGCCTAGTGCTAAACTTACATACATTTGATCAAGGCACCAGAAGTATTTGCTGAAGATTATGTCAGCTCTTCGATAGTGGTACTAGAAAAAGTAGATAGCTGCCAGCAAAAGACTCCCTCATACCATATAGCACAGACTACTCTGACATAAGAAACTGCAAAACTGAGAAGTGAACACAGGAAAACTACTGGCACTGGCAATGGCCTTTTTGGTATGATACTAAAAACACAGGCAACGAAACCAATCCAAACAAGTGGATGCCCAGCAACCCAAAAGCTCTGCAAAGTGAACAATGACCAGAAAGAAAGGGCAGCTGAGAGAATGTGAGAACTTGTTCCAGACCACATTTCTCTTTTTCTAAGATTTCTCCTTCCCACCCCCATGGTTATGTGTGCACATGAGCATAGGTGCTCATGGACGATAGAAGCAGGCATCACTCTCCTGTGCCTGGAGTTATAGGTAGTTGTGGGCTGCCCTACATGGGTGATGGAACTGAACAGCGAGTGCTTTTACCTCTCTCTAACCCAACAAATCCCATATCTATAAGGGGTTCACATCTGACCCATAAAGGGTTGAGCAAAGGATCTGAATATCTAATTTCTCAGAGAAGACATAGAGGCATCAAACAGTGTTCTACATCACTGCAGGACTTCCCTCTCATTAGAATGACTGTTATCAAAACCACAAGGGGATGTGGAGACACAGAGAATGGGGAACGCTCATATACTGTTGTCAGGAAAGTGAATTGGTACAGACACTATGGAAAGCAATATAGAAGTTCCTCAGAAAATAAGTTTATATATGCAGCAACCTTCCTTCTAGTCATAATCCATAGGGCATAAAATCAGCCCTACCTTTTTGTGTGGTGCTGGGGACCCAACTCAGAGTGTTACACAGGTAAATGGATGCTCTAAGCCACAGCCCCATCCTGGAAGTCAGTACCTATAAGGCTTCTTCTGTGCCACCATTTTCACTGAAGTAGCTGGGTGAGAACAACCCGGTCACTTCACTGAGAGAGAGAGAGAAGGATCATGTGGGCTATGATCATAGTAGACAAGTATTTGTTCACCCAAAGAGATCCTAATATCTGTGAAAACATGCATGAACCAGGAGGGCTGTATGCTACAGGAATAAGCTAGGAACCAAAGGGTAGAAGATCCCATGATCATATGCATATACAATTTTCAAAAAGTAGAATTCCTGTTAGTACAGAGAAGAATTGTGGTTTTCACAGATGGAGGGTTTGCTACGATTGGAAATGAAGTGCTGTTGTTCAAGGGGTGCCCATCTTCAGTTAGAAGGTGCACAGGTTTTGGGCATCTAATGATCAATGACTATGGATGAGTTAATTTATATGATTCTGCTATTATTGCACATTGTACATGCATACCAAGCTGTCATGTTCACCCTGATGTCATCTATTAAAGTCCTTACTTTAAAACACTAAAGAAATCTATGGACCACACATCTCTACAGCTCAGAAACTGGAATACAATTATCATCTCAAGGGGGGGGGCAGAATGGCAGCATCTACTTTGGGATGTTTCCTATGTAAACATTGCTGTTTGAACAAGAAAACAGGGTCAGTCTTTCTTAACTCATCAACACCTCAGTGTCAGCTCACTTCTGTCCCAGGTCATTGGCTGAATTCTTCTCCTCTGCAATTCAGCCAACCCATGAACCTACAGGACTAACCATCCCACACTTTGGTCTATGTTCAATTCCACAATCTACTGTGCTATTTTCTGCTTTATGAACATAAAACACAGTTTTATTGGTGAGGAATGGGGAATAATGAGTTCACAGGTGAACCGAACATCCCAGAATAATCGCATGTGGACTGTGAGGCAAGGCTGGGTCCTGTCACTTTCAGTTGTCTTTCACTACATGACAAATTGTGGCTCACCATTCAGCTAGCCACTGCAGTGGCCTATGGAGATGATGGCCATACGGGATGGGAGCTTTAACTTTTAGTGTAGATGTTCTTTGTTCATAGCCAAGAATAAGATTGAAATATCAACGCCTGCCACTGGAGCCTGCAACCAAAGAGGATGGCCATCACAGTATCTAGCATCTCCTGTAATAAAGGACTAGCTCAATATTTCTCCAAAGTTCACTATATCCTTTTGCATCTTTGGGCGAGTGTTTTTATGTCTGTCTCTTTGGAGAAACTGGGGCTAAGAGGAATTAGATGACAAGTCCAAGGTCAGAAAACAATGAAGGAACTCATTGAGGTTCAAATCAAGGCAGGTGCCCCACAAAGCATCGGCTCTCACCAATTCTATTACATCGGGTAGCTAGCTCCAAAAATGCACTTTCCATTGTATGTAGAGGCACAACTTATTTCTTTCAATGCAGTTATGCAGTCGTTTCAGAGCCATGTTTGTGCCCCTGGGCTAATCTGTATTCTGTTTTGCCACCCACATGTGGAGGAAGAAAGCATGGCACAAATACAATGTAACCTTTGTTTTCCAGCTTCCATTGTGATTGAGAAGTGGTGGTGCCACATGGATCCTTGCTTGGAAGGAGAGGACTGCAGAGTGCTCCCAGACTCCTCTGGTTGGTCCTGTAGCAGTGGCAATAAAGTCAAAACCACTAAGGCAAGTATGGACAAAAGGCAACTGTAATTTACAGCTGCAGGAGCTGTTAACTCAGGGGGGTTCCTGCTGTGTCTGGATCTCACCAGCAAGAGAACAACTTTGTTTTATGTTGATAAGCCTGCCAGGGCTGTGCTACACTGTGGCTTTAGCCTTTCAGGAAAAGTCCATTTGCCGATGTCGTTGCCATGTGTCAGGGCAGTGATTTGGTGGGTGAGCTCTTACTTTCAGCAGGGCCCCTAAATTCACTTCTGCTCCTTCATGAGTTCAATTTAAAGTAAAGGTTTCAGAGTCGACAGAGTGGTATGTCAAAGCAACATGGCAAGAATCCACGGCCAGAAGATTTACTTCGGTAGAAAAAACGTGCTGCCACAGAGATTAGAGACAGGCCAGTTGTGATTCCTACTCCAGTCTTCCACAGCTTCTCCCTAGTGGCTCTCCCATTCTGAATTTCTTTGAGTCTGAAGGGAAACATGAGCGATTCACTTTTTCAGTGAGAAAGCAAGCCTCTTTGTCTCCTTATGTCCACTCAATTCCTTGGATTTTAGAAATTCTCACTACCAAATCCTTCCATGCCTGCCTTCCAGGTGCCACCTGATACACCATCACATCCAGATGACTAATAGCTGGCTTCCTTCCAGTATATATTCCATTCAATAGCTATAAGAAACAGTATTTGTGAGATGTCAGCCCTTTAACTCAGGCCATCCTAAAACCTCTGAGCAGTTTCAGCCACCACATTGGCCCTTCATAGACAGTCCTGCAAGAGAGCCAGCCTTCTTTTTCTGCTCCTAACCTCCTCACCTTCTGTTGGTCCCTGTCACAGTGCCTGTGAGGTGGTTCTTGCTCTCATATGATACGCTGCCTCCCATTGCTTTCTAGTCAACTATTATTCTTCAGGGAATCCATCCTTGGTTGCATCTGTGTTCAGTGTCTGAGTGTTTATTGGCTCACATTTTACACAGATAGCTGTATTCCTTTGCTCCCTACCCATCGCTTCCTATGTAGTGTGGGATTTGTGAAGTCAGGTGCTTGTCTGTGTTTGCTTATCTTGGTAGGCTCAATCCAGCTGATGTCTCCATAGCTGTTGCTGAACTCCAATTAATGATAGGTCTTTCTGAGGTTATTGGAGTGAGATGGGTTGCAATGATGTCCATTCAAATTTTGCTATGAGAATATAATTTGTCCTTACTAGTGATGTTGTGATTACAATAACTTCTGCATTGACAGGACCTGTGCAGATTCCTCCAATCACAGATTAAAACACTGAAAGGTAATCACATCTCAACTAAACTTGCACAGTTTTCTTTTTGTCATTATTCCTTAAATGATACAGCATAAAAACTATTTCTAGCTGGGTTAGCAGTTAAGAGCACTTGCTGTTTTTGTAGAGGACTTGGGTTCAGTTCCAGCACCCATATGGCAGCTCACAACCATTTATAACTCCAGTTTCAGGGGATCCGATGCCTCTTCTGGCCTCTATAGATACTGCATACATGTGGTGCTTAGACATATATGCAGATGAAAGGAAAAAACAAACCTCATACATATAAAAATAATTTCTGTTGCATTTGTGTTGTAGTTGTTATAAGCAATCTAGAGGTCATTTAAACTAAGCAAAGTCTGCATGCACTACATGTAAGTAGTATACCATTTTAGGTACATGTACACATTTTGGTGTCTGTGGGAGATCTTTGAGGCAATCCTCCATAGACACCAGGTTACAACTCTCTTTTTACAGTCATGTTAGAGGAAATCCATGGAGTTATTTGTTGTAATAGCGAGGAAGTTATCCCTTCTACTATCCCGCCATTCCCACTTGGCCACTCCCAATAAACTTCCAACCACCTAAAGCCATTGTACTTGCTAAGCAAATTCTGTTTCCTGCTCCCAACTCCTTTCAGCTGTTCCCATAAGTACTTTATAAATAAAAAATATTGAAGTCTCCTATGAGGTTAAAAAATAATCTTCCATCTATCAGTGATTAAAATAAACTTTCATTGCATTTCTTGTAGACTAAGAAATAACATTTTAGAAGATTAAATTTGTATTGATTTTTAGATATAAATGTAAAACAAGATTGAATGGAAGCCAAGTGAATTCTGGAAAAAGAATGTGTGTAAGTAGTTCACTTGGTAGAGTGACTCTCACTCTTTATGTGCAGTTAGTGAGAGCATTAGCAGGAAGCAAACCTTTAGGGGCATTTTGCCTCTGTGTGCTGGAAATAATGGTAAATTCTCAATGGTAGTGACATTTCATTTATCTCCTGGAAAGATGCAGAAACATAATACAGTTCCCCAAGCCACTGTAATACTTGGGCTGCCTTTTTTCAGTGATATGTCATTTGAGAATAATCTGGAAGGTATAAAACTTTGTTTCCTTTATTAATCCAAGTCAGTGTGCCTTGAACTGAATAAAACATTTTATGTCTGTTATGGCTCACATGCACACAGAAGTTCATTTGGGGAGTTCAGACTGCCTCCCATGTGCTGAAATTGGCATTCTAGAAGCTGTATCTCTTGCTCGCAATGGTACTGACCTCATACCTCTGGAGGGACAGCCATCCTGTAATGGCCAAGCAGTTGCATCTCTGGAGGAGGTATTAAGTAAACAACCACAGAGTTTCCATTTTCCTTAAAGAGTTTGTGCAGAGCAGCATGGGAACACAGAACACAGAATGTCAGGTCTTGGGTAGTAAGTCTCCTAGGCTAGGATTTTATCTCCCATTTAAATGCAAATACAAAAAGAGTTCGCAGTTGGCGTGAGATACAAATGGGCTCTGTCTCAGAGATGAAAGTAAGAGAGGCAGACATGTCTTTGTCCTTACTTAGTTATCAGCTCCAGACAGAACAGGTTGACAACCTCTTCATTCTCCCAACATGGTTTCCAGTTTCTTCAGAGAAGGCTTAGGAACTACTTCCTGTGGGAAAAGAAGTCTTGCTGTTCTTATGCCTCACGTCTCCTCCTTTCCCTCTCTTCTGAGTTTTTGATTGACGTTTCTCTATTTCAAACCATCAGTGCTAAGGTTTCTTCCAAGGACTCGGTAACTTTGTAGCATCAATGGCATGGGTGTGTCAGGGCATTTTAATAATTTGTCAGGAGAACAAAACAACATTGATCTTGAAGAAGTCTATGGTATTTAAGCTTCTTATTTTGAAGCTGTGACTATGAAGAGCTGCCTTAAAGGAACAGTTTTACTGGGTGCTTTCTTGCCCTTTGGGGATGCTGGACAATATGTGAGGATATTTTTGGGTTGTTGTATGTTGAGATGGAGATGCGACAGGCATCCAGGAGACAACACCAAGGACAGTGGTAAGCATCGTACAACGGATGGGGTCGTCCCCACAGTCAACAGTGCTTAGGTTGAGGGGCTGTTCTAGAGGATCACACATTTTCTCAGGAGCTTTCTATAACCTCCCTACTCAATTCTTGAAATTCACGTTGTTATTTCCCTCTACCCCACAGAAATGGGTATTGAATTAAGGGACCCATATATGCTTAGCAAGTTCAACTGAGCTACAGCCCTAGGCTTATCTTTACTTTCAAATATTTGAGATAAACTCTCATGTCTTGAATGTCCAATCTTCCTAGTTTCCCAGTGGCTGTGATTACAGGCCTGTATTAGTGGGTTTGGATGTTACGTCACTTTACTCAAAGTTTCTATTAAGTGTCTAAAACTTTCTAGGGTTTCATTGGAAATGCAAAGAGGAATGAGTCAAGAAGGGAAGTATCTCATGCATATTTGTTTAAATCATGAGAGTTCAGCTTTTATTCTGATCACGTCACTGACACTGGTAAGATCAGCAATAAAAATAAAGATTTAATCATCTGAAATATGCAGACATTTATAAAACAACAGAAACAGCAGTGTTGGCTTCAGAAGCTTCCTTCATGTTAGTGTCTTACATGGCCTTGTCCATGCTAGTACTTTTCTCAAATGATACCTTAGCTGGGGTTTTTCTCTGTCTCTTGGGTACCACCAGGGATCACTATCAAAATTATTTCATCATTTCATGGCTGTAGAATATTCATCAAGAGACTTGTTAAAATGTCAGTTTTAGGCCCCACCCTCTAGACTATTTGGCATATTAAGCCTAGGGCTGGACTTAGAACACAGACTTTTAAAAATGTTGTTTTGCTTCAAGAATGGGTTCCATCTTATAGTGAAATGGCAGGAAAAAATATTCCAAGCAAAAGGGACAAGAAAGCAAGCAGGAGTTTCCACTCTAATATAAGACAAACCAGCCTTGAAACTAAAATTTATCAGAGAAATAAGGGAGGACACTTCATTTTAATCAAGAAAAAAAATGAACCCAGAAGACATTACAATCACAAACACAAATGCTCCAAACTCTAGCACACCCCATTTCATAAAATGTATACTACTAGATGTCAAGACACAGACTAGGCACAATTCAATAATAGGTGATTTTAAGATCTTTGGACAAAAATAAATAGGGATACACTGGAGTTAGGTGATATTATACAGCAAATAGACTTAGAAGAGAGCTATAGGATAGTCTACCAAAATATTAAAGAATATACATATTCTACTCAGCCATCTCTGGGAATTTCTCCAGAACAGACCACAGACTGAGGCATGAAACAAGGGATGGGAAGATGACAGTGTAAGAACACATCCAACAATACAAAGACCAATATGACAACACCAGAATCTAGGGACTCTACCCCAACAAGACCTGAACCATCCCAGTGCAGATGAAGCAGAAGAGAAGGACCTTAAAAACAACTCGATGAAGATGATAGAGACCCTCAAAGAAGAAATGAGAAAATCGCTAAAGAAATGGAAGAAAAACAAACAAAAAATACAGGAGGTGCAGGAAAAGACAAACCAAAATTTCAAGAAAAAATCTCCTAAAGAAAGCAAGGAAAGCCAAGAAAAAAACAAAAACAAACAAACAAACAAAAAAACACAAACAAGTGAAGGAGACAATTCAAACAGTGCGAGGCCTGAAAGCTGAAATAGAAACAATAAAGAAAACACAGAATGAGGGGATGCTAGAAATAGAAAACTGGGCAAACAATCATGAACTACAGATGTAAGTATAACCAATGGAATACAAGAGGTAGAAGAGAGAATCTCAGGTGTTGAAGATTCACTGGAGGAAACAGAGTCATTGACCAAAGAAAATCTTAAAAGTCCAACAAATCCCTAAACAAAATATCCAAGAAAAATGGGACACCGAGAAAAGGCCAAATCTAAGAATAATAGGTATAGAAGGCAAAGAAATACAGCTCAAAGGGTATGGAAAACATATTCAACAAAATCACAGAAGAAAACTTTCCCAACCTAAAGATGGACATACCTATGAAAGCACAAGAAGCTTACAGAATACCAAATAGACTGGACCACAAAAAGAAAAAAAAATCCCCTTACCACGTAGTAATCAAAACACAAGACTTATAGAATAAAGAAAAAATATTAAGAGCAGCAAAGGAAAAAGGCCAAGTAACATGTAAAGGCAGACCTATCAGAATTACACCCGACTTCTCAATGGAAACCCTGAAAGCTGTAAGGTCCTGGATAGATGTTCTACAAACGCTAAGAGACCATGGATGCCAACCCAGACTACTATACCCAGCAAAGCTTTTCATCACTATA